AGGAGTTTACCTTATCGTCATCAAGTTCCTGTGATTTCTGATAAGAGAGAAGTGAAAAAATTATTTACTACTAAAAAATGGGGGGGGGGGGGTGAAAATGATGGTGGTTCAAGTCGGTCGTGTTTTGAGTTGTAAGGCACAACAGTAAAATAATGACTGATAAGTAATGCTTTTCAATATCACAGCATATGAAACTGTGACTTTCTTTATGGACATCGATGCCTCGCTGTGTGTTTATTTTGCTCCTATTCTGTGCCCTGTAATTATTACGGCTAACCTATACTTTTGTATCGTTAGTGAAAAGGACAGTTTTATACTGTTAAAGCTCATGTTAGATGAGTTGTATCATTTTTTAAAATATGCAAGTCGGACGTTACGTCAGTTAACCAGTCGGATTTCCTCTTCCTCCCTCGTATATTACGTCAGTATTTTGAAATGTGTGTGTATTGTTTTTGCATGTCGGATAAAGAAAGACTTGAACAGCGACCAAGACTGTTTATATCGTACTGATTTTAGGCTCATTGTTTGATATCTTGGGCAGGTCATAGGAAGATATTTATATTTTTTTCTAGCAAATTTTTGTCTAATTTCATGTTGAAAATAAACGTTAAAGGACACCATCTGTTGGCAACTTCAAGAAACTATAACTGATAAAACAAGTCTGAATGATGTCTTGATGCTTAATGGATTAGTGAGTTGATTTCAGTGAAAGTTGGGGATTTCTACCGTGGAGTGTGCGGCAGAGGTAATAATTTGGTTACTTATGTATAAAACAAATGTACTGTTTATTTGGTTGTGAATGTCTTAATCAGCTTGTTGTTGACAAGATATTTGTTTTTAGTTTTTTCTCTCTCTTTCTATCGGATGTTCTTGTAGCTGGAAATTCAGAACAAGCTGAAAGCAATCAACAATGTGATAGACATGTTGACTGGTATCATTGGAGACAAGGAAGAGAAGCATGTTGGGAAAGGAAGTCACAAGGATGAAGCAAAAACTGCCAAGGTAAGGATCGTCACGCACGTAATGACTGAGTTTTCATGTCGCCTTTGACTTTTCTGCTCCCTCCTGTTGAATGTTTGTGAGGACCAGTTATAATAGCAGCAATGAGTAAGCAAGACTGATTTATAGCTGTTGCATACAGATTTGTTTAGATAAGTGTGTTGCGCTCGACATATTCACATTTCTAATTACGTTACTTTCTTACGATTTCCAATGGTAGATTTGCCAACAGTGATGTTTTGTTGTTTGATTGTTTAGAGATGTTTTTCTTTAGTTTCAGTCTCTCTCCGCCCCTCTCACCCCCCCTTCCCCCTCAAGTATGAACTAAAATTGTTTCCATTTCTCTTAACCAGGTTGGATGGAATGTGATGGACAGTGGTTTGAAGTTTGTTACTTTTGACGTACTTTAAATAGTATTTTATAAGTTAATTAACTGATAGGATTGAATTAAAACAAATGTATCAAAACATGTCTGCCTCTTGCAGAAGAAACCTCGGACTCCACCAGAAACACCACCGCAGTCGTCGTGTTCAGATTCTGAACTGGGAGATGATCGCAGGGGTGCCAATAAATTGGATTCTGTGTCGGGAGTAGCATCTTTATCTGTAGAGGATAAGAAACATGCACAAGATGACAAGCCTTTGTACAACTATGTACATTATGACCCAGAGATGCATTGGTGTCGCGTGTGTGACGTGTTCCCACGCACTGCCAAGGAGTTCCTCAACCATCTTCATAGTGCGGAGCACAAGGAGCAGACGCTGGTAACTTTACTATTTCGTGTGTCTTTTATAATTTTTTTAATTGTAATCATGTCGCAAGGAAGGTGCAGTAGAAAATTAGTTGTCAGTTTCATGCACTGTGAAAATTTTGTTTTTTGGTCCTTGAACAGTCCACATTAAATACAGAAGTTGATGGATTATCAGTCCTTCATATTTGGGAGATCCAGTGTTCAGTTCCTGGTGTCGTGACTTGTCGTTTAGAGACTTCTTGTGGTTTTCTTTGCTCTCTAAAGGCAAATTCTTGGATAATACATTTAAACATGTCATAACGTTTCCTTCAGCATTTTTCCTAGTTTGTAACCAACATTCGTCGGCTTGATATATATTATACGAAGTTCAGAAACCATTACATAAAATCAGAACCAAAGTTGGCTTTAGGGTTTTCGTTGGAAATGGATGTGTTTTTTGCTGATGGGGGTGTTGGCCTCTGCTTCCACTGCTTCGAGGATTACCATACTCAACTGAATTACAAAGGTAATATCAAGCGTACTCAACTGAATTACAAAGGTAATATCAGTCTCACCTTAATATTTTGCAGATATTACAGGTCTTGCATACAAAATTTGAACAAGTTCTGTTAAAATGTAAAAATTACACTGAAATTCAAGCATACATTTTTTGTGAATTTAAATGCGTTTATCCTTTCTTTGAGCGAAATTGGTATGTATGTCATGCCATTGGGAGTCATTCTGTAGCCCTTTTTGGTGCAGGTGATCTGCTGATCAGATCGTTTTTGGGAACTTTTCTCGCGTATTTTCTTCGCTCCCCGTTCACTTCAGAGGACTCACTTGGCCACTTTCTCCAGTTTGAAGTTCCTACTCTTGCTGTTGGGAAAGAGGTGCCCATGCTACGCGTACAAGTTATTTCCTTTGTTCCTTAAAGATCACTTGTGATTTTGCCCCCTCTTTGTTATGTAGGAGAGGAAGCTAGTTGATATGCCGTGGCATAAGATACAGGCAGACCAGGATGTTCCACACATCATGGGGGCCCCAAAAAAGCGAACACCAATCAGAGGTAAGTGGGGTCTTACTGAAACAAGCCAGATTGTAGTCACTTCTGTGTACTGCGTCTGGTGTTTATTCAGATTGCTTTTCGATATTCAGTGTTTGGGGCTGAGGTAAGTTGAATAACAATTATTTTGACTCTTAAATTGATGCAAGGGTTTATATTAAATGTGTTCTTAAAAAAATTAATTTTTGGTGTTATTAGCAAGAGAAAAACTTGTCTTGGTGTCACGTTGTAGAGGACGTGAAGATGTATTTGAAGAAATTAATGAAGTCCTCAGTAAGTAAGGATGTACCATACACCGTGCACAGGACAGGTCACTTTTTAGACCTGTTCACAACACGAAGCTCCAAAAAAAATGCACGCATTAGCTTAACCATGTTTCACTGTTGCATCCGTTATGGTACACTCTTGTGGAAAATTTGAATGTGTTTTTGTTGTTATGTGCATCATCTTAGTTGCTCTGATTCTCGTAGTAATTACTTCAGAATATTGCAGTAAAATTATTTCATGTTGGAAATTGAGAATGAAGTGCTTTTTATCTCATTTGTTTTTCTGTTTTGGATTTGGTGGCCTGAAAGAGTTAGTGAAGTTACGTAGGTGGTCACCATCGTATCGATTGTGGTCCTCTGGGTCGTGACGCTATACGGTCTTACAGGTGGTTAGCATTGTGTGAGGGGAACATATTGCTGTGTCATCATCTGGGTTATGATGCAGTGTGGCCAACCAACTTTCAGAGGAACATTGATAACCCCACAACATCACAGCCCAGAAGATGGCAGTATTTTAAAAATTGTCCTGCAACAACATTAGCTATTTTTTTTATAATATTGTTTATGAGTAATAGTTTCGTGGCTCTGTTATGGAAGTGATTGGTTCTACACTTCCCAGTTGGCAATGAAGAACTAGCTAATTCATAAGGAATTTTGCGGTTTTCTCGCTAATGATGATGATGATGATGACTGTATTTTTTGTGATGTCTCAAGCTGCAGAAATGAATATATCAGTACTTCTCAATTTCCAACAGAAATTAAGTACGTCAATTTAGTTGCATAGAAGGGGCAGAGTATCAGATTCTAGTAATAATTTCGTTTTTATTTTTTCACCGAGGTGGCAGGTTGGACACATTAACAGGAGGTTAGAGCATTGCAAGAAACTTGTGTTGGCATTAAATTGAGAAATGTCTTTGCTCTCATGGGTCTAATCTGGTCGCAGTTTGTTTGTCAAGCCTCCAGTGCAGTTGAAAGTGTCCGCTAACAGTGATAGGTCTGCCGTCATGTTGTCGGTCACGTATTCTCTCAAGTAACTATAATTACTTTTACGGTGGGCCATGTAGCGTTATTCATGTTTCTGGAATTGCACAACCATGAAGCAATTTTATAACTATAAGCACAAAGGCAGCACAAGGAGAAGTGGAAATCCTCGTCATGGAAACATCTCTGGTTGTTTCATTGTTATAGAATCTTGAGAAGACACGCTACTTTGAAGATTTGTTCTATGTTCAGTGCGTTGTGAAATACTTGTAAGTTAAGGATTTGTATGTTTGAAGCTGGAAATTTTTGTATAAACCATGTATGATTTTATATGCACAAATTGTTTGTTATTCCGATAATAAAGAACATTTTACGTACGATTTCCGTCCAATAAAGAAAAATTGTCGAGCTATTCTGTCCTGCTTGCTTTGATTGGCCCTGGATGTTGTTGCTTATGAATTACTTCATGTATTATGAAATGTGTTCTATGTATAGATTCTTCAAAAGGACGGTAGAGGTTCCTGACAATAAATGTTACATTACATTTGCTATTTTAAGTGGAGTATATATTGAAAATATTCCATAGTGTTCTGTTGAATCTGTGCTGTTAAGTGTTTTCCAATACTAGAAATGTCTATTGTTTAAGTGTTCCTCTGTACATCTTCCTGTTCCCTCGTTAAGTATTCCATTACATTTAAAATAGAATTGAACATTCAGATGTGTCTAGGTTTCTAAGTTTTTAGTGATTTAGAGGCTGTTTTAGCTTCATAAATTCAGATTGCTGAAATTAAAATTCTTTCACGCTTAAGAAGTTTCTCTCACGATTTTTTGTAATTTCAAGCAACATCTTGGCGTGATTAGATATTCCGTAATAGTAAACTTAAGTAAGTTACAGTGGAAGTCTCAACAAGTAATAATCTGCCGTGGGCACTTCTGGGATCGACAGATGTCACGATGTGCCCATAACAGAAAAGTTTTTGCGTATTTTTATTAAACATTTTTCTTTGTGATCGAGAAGTGTGAACACGACGTGGTATGACCCTTTGAGATTGTTTGTGTACCGATACTTCGACTTATTTGTTTCCTGTTACGTTTTAATTTAAAGTGTGGCCATAAATACGATCAAGTTGGGAACACGGTTGTAGGCCATTTTCAGTAATCTTCATATTAAAAAATTGAAATGCAATTTGAAATTTGGCTTAATGGCACTCGTTCGTTTATGGTGACTTTGTAGTGCATTTCAAATTATGTTCAGTTTTGAGAGTATATCAGCTGTCTTTTGTCTGAGATACATTTGGTCTTGTTCTGATGCTTTGTGTTAGTTTCAAGCTGGCTGAGGTGATCATCTCTTAATATTGCTTTATTTTAATCTTAGGATTGCAGTTCTTCATCTCTGCTACTGCGTGGTACTGCAAACTTTGTGATGTGTGGATTGGAGACCTGCATTGTGCATCTGTTCACCTGAAGTCAAAGAGGCACTCTGAAAATTATGCTGTGAGTTTCTGTTTTGAAGAAAGTCCTTGTTTGGCATTTCTTCAGTACATTTGATCTTAAGCATAAATTGAACTTCTCTGTAAAACGTTCATTATCTAAATCCGTCTCATTGTGTGCCTTCCAAGAGGGTGTTTTTGAAGAGATTTCTGTACCAAAACCGTACCATGTGTAAGGATTTGAGGTTTTCACAGCAGTGAGTCTGAAGATGGATGTCTTCTGGGTTGTTGAATCACCGTGATGATCGAGGCAGCAAGGACCTCTGAAACGTTGGTAAACTTCTATTAGTCTTCACAGCATAACCCAGATGACAACCATCTTCATACTATGTATTCTGTGTCTCCCACATCACAGTCTGTTGTAGCATGTTTGACTTAACTGACAGTACTGCGTGAGCTGAATATGTCACAAGGTTTATGATTATGTTAAGTTATAAATTGCTCACTCAGTGTTCAGAATCATAAAAGAACTAAACTGCATATTCCATATGTTGGGATGGGCAGTTTTTAGTCTGAATGGAGCTTTTTCAATAAAACTAGATTGATAAGACCTGTGAGAAAAATTCCATACTTTAGATACTGTTAAATAGTTATTACATATTTGCGATGTCTAAACATACTTAAAGATACAGCAAAAGATTTAAAAATAGTAATATTAATAAGTACTGTAGATGTGATGTTCTAAACTTTGCATTTTATTCTCATGATGTTAAGACACACATTAAGCAAAACATTGAGTTCATCCCACATAACTTCCTTATTTCCATTAGGACGTATAATAATTAAAAATTGTTCAAGGGGCCTCCGTACTTCCCAGTAACTACTTTATTTGTACAACATTTTAGAAAGAAGAAGGATTCTCTTTTGCTTAAAATATATAATAGTTGTTCTTTTCTTTTCAGCAATTCACAGAACAAAACCCTCATTGGGAGACAGACTGGCTGGCCGATCGAGAGAAAGCATACGAGCGCTGTTCAGAGGAGAGGCATCGGTTGAAGGAAGAGCAGGGCCCGTTACCACCTGGCATAGAGCAGCCAGCACCATCACTGCCGCCATCAGACACAAAACTGTTCACTGGGAACAGCAAGGATGGATTCCTGGATCTGAAAGGAGCTGTTAAAGAAGATAAACCTGATCAGAGGCTCAAGAGTACCAGAGACCATCGTAAGAAAGTTAAGAAGACTTGTATAACTGCTTTAGACGAGAAGGTGAGAAAGAAGAAGCACCGGAAAAGTAAATGTACGTCTAAGAAAGTGTCCGATTCCTCAGAGAGCAGTTCAAGTTCCAGTAGCAGCAGTAGCCATTCCTCAAGCACTGAGGAAAACAGTGATTATGAAAATGAAGACAAGTCAAAAAGTATTCGTGTTGCTATGAGAAAGAAGGTAAGGGGCTTGCCAGTGCAACAGGTATCAGATGAACCACTCAGCATACCCTTTATTAAAGCCCCAAGGAGTAAGTGGGATTCCCCAGAAAAACAGAGTGATGAAAAAGAAGTTAAAGAAAGGAATGACAGAGAGAAGATTGAAAGGGAGAAGATATGCAAAGAGAAAGCAGAGTGGGAAAGAACAGAGGCAGAACACGCAGAAAAAAAAGAGGAGGAGCGGAAGTCGAAGAAAGCTAGTCAGAAAAGTAGCAACAGCAGCGGTGATGATAAATTAATCAAAGAATGGATGTCTACGTCAAAGGAGGTGTCAGATGGTGAGAAGCAGCTGTTAAACAGCATTAAGGATAGGCTAAAGCAGAAGCAGGAAGCAGATAAGGAAAGGGAGCATGAGAAGAAGAGGGACGAGAGAGACAAGAATCATCATGATGGCAAGGGATATTATGAAGACAGAAGGGATTCGAGGCGGAGCAGGAGGCGAAGCGAGAGTCCTTCGTCTTCGTCTTACAAGAGCAAGCGATTGCGTGGCAGTGACAGATCACCTGATGACAGGAGAGAACGATCAAGATATGAGAGGTCTGAGGGATCTCGTAAATCTCCTGAACGTTTCTCCAAAAAGAGCCCCTCGTGGCAGGAGTTCCCAAGTTTGAAGGCAGACCAGAAACCGAAAGAAGATACAGATGGAAAAGTTCCAGATAAGAGGTCAGAAACTGAAAAGAAGATGACAGCAAAATTGGAAGACGATGAATATGAGGAAGAAAGTGCTGAATCAAAATTTGAGAAACAGACCGCGGAGTCTGCGGCAAAACTTATGAAGAAGGGCAAGAAACCTGCAGTTATGACGATACCAAAATCTAAATTGCCCTTTATTGGACGCATGCCAATCTTAAAACATTTTGCAAAGAAGAAGGCCCCTCCGTGTGAGAAGTCAGGTGACAGCAAAACTGGTGAGGAGGAGAAGAAGCAGTTTGCAGAAGATTCTATGGTACAAGCACAGTTTAACTTGGAATTCACAAATGTAGGAGGAAAGGTACATATAGGTCCTCAAGAACCTCGCAAATCAAGGTTTGATCAGAAACCACAAGGTGCAGCAGACTTACTACCAATGGGACCACAGTTGCCACCAAATGTCGTGGTACCAACATCACTTGGTAACTCTGAAACTGGAGGGACCTTACCTAGTTTTGAAGGTGCTAAGCCAGAAGAATCTCAAGTCATGAATGAGGTACAGGACATGGAAATAGATGACGACACTTCTAACAGTGATATCGCCCACCCAGTCATAGAAACGTCACCCGCTGTTGATATTCAAATTGGAGAACAGACACCTCCAAAGAAGCCACTTACAGAAATTCCACTTCCCAAAGACTTTCAGGATGCTTTGAATATATTATTTCCAGGTCCAGAAGGGGCAGAGAAGAAGGATGACTCTCTTCTTCTTCTTCCACCCCAGTCGGCAGTAATTCAGAGTGGTCCGAAGCCTCCCTCCATGCCACAAAATGCATCCCAAATGAATCAAGGCCAGTGGCCCCAAGACATAATTCATTCACAGATGGGAGGCATGCCAGTGATGCCAGGCCATGGACCACCACCATCACATCCAATGCAGGGTTATGGTGGCTCGTCCCAGATGATGAGTGGAGGGGGACCTCCGATGATGGGGCCTGTGCATGGTCCACCACCTCCAGGCATGTATGGGCCCCCTGGCATGCCCGGTCCGGGCCCTGCTTACGGGATGCATGGTCCTCCAGGTCCCATGATGGTACCTGGAGGTATGCAAGGTCCTCCTCAACCAAACATGATGCACGGTCCACCCATGCATTCACATCAGAACGAATCGAGACCTCCCCCACCTCCGCTGCCTAAAGAAACTAAAATGCCAGTGGAAATAAGCAGTTCTAAAAAGGAAAGCCACCTAAAAAAATCAGATGCTGTAGGTGGAATGAGTGCAGATGAGTTGGCCATGCTAGGAATTGATGAGGGAGACATGGCTGCCCAGATTTTCTAGTTATATGTCAAAATTAGGTTGCTCAAACCGTGGTTAATCTGTGGGATGTGAGGTTTTCACGGCTGTGAGTCTGAAGATGGCCGTCTTCTAGGTTGTTGCACCGTGTAGTCTTGTAGAAGTTTACAGATGTCTCCTAGCTACCTCCAACATCAGGCCTCATCGCCCTGATGATGCAGGCAGCAAGGACAACTTTTACAATAGTACATGGTGTGACAACCCAGAAGACGGCCATCTTCATGGTTAATCTCATTGGATCTTTGTGTATTCTGTAGCATTATAGTTGTTATGTGTTTGACATAGAAGTAAATCCTTGTGTAATTTAAATAAAAACTATACAGTAAACCACTTCATCTCTTATTTTTGGAAGTGTGAAAGTATTCATGTGTGGTGGTTTCTTCCTTGTCCAACGTGGGGTAAATGAAGAAACTGGAAAGGCTTCGAAATATAATTTAGCCAAGAGTTTATTATGGAACAAAGTTGTAGACAGATGCTGTAAAAGTAGAATATTCATTGTGTATTTTGTATGAAAAGAGCCAGGTATCTCAATCAGTTCAGTGGCTGACTATGGGCTGGGTGATGGAGTTCTGATGGTCAGAGGATTTTTTTTCCTAGCCTATGCATCTGGATGGCTCTGGGGCCCATCCAGCCTCCTGTCCAGTGGGTACAGGGGTCCTTCCCCTCGGGGGTAAAGCGAGTTTGAGAATCAGTAGGAGCTATAACGCCACTCCTCCAGAGCGCCTACATGGCGCGTAGCGCGATGGCCTAGCTTTGTTTATTGTTCTGCAAATACTGCAAACTCTCGAGGCACATAACGCAGATTAAGAAACATTGATACGCGATTATCAAAGATTGTTGATTTGTAATTTTCTAGGTATATTGTTTTGGTCATGTTAAAAGAATGGTTTAGTTCCTTGCTGTGTTCATCATCAGGGCGATGATGGAGGCACGAAGGACCTCTGAAACGTGGGTAAAATTTACCAGAATACACGGCGCAACAACCCAGAAGACAAGTCATCTTCGTTTTTTGCATGCTTTTCCATGCAAACATCACAGGTGGGAGTGTCACCCAGAGCGTAAAAGACGCCGATGATCATGAATTGAAAAGGATCTGAAAGGAAACAATTGTGGCAGAATTTAAGGTACTATCCGAAATCCTACATCCCAACCTGCCAGGAGGGACTGGGAAAGCAACCACAAACCTCAGGATTTCCTGTTTCCAGACCGAGATTTGAACCTCGGACTTACCGAATACAAAGCAGGAGTGTCCATGAATGATGGTTCATGGGCCTAAGACATGCCTTAGCTTTCTTATTCTCATAGCAGAACAGTGAGGGTATCAACTGCTTTCACCCGCTAATGGACAAGGCCCAGATGTAAACGGCTGGTTCTTGCCTGACATGTGGTATAATTTTTGATTGTAATGTATATAATCTGTGGTTAATATTTTGTATTATGTTGGTTATCCGCATCGGATGTGTCGTTTATTTCCGGTAGCGTCGGTGTTTGTGGCACTGGTCGTGAGTGTATGTCGTGAAATTAATTTTGTGGTTTATTGCTAACCTAAATTTTCTGTGTTAGCCTTAAAATCTTGTGTAAAATCGTTATGGCTGGCACTCCTCAAGTTCAAGATGCTTCGGACAAATGCAACGTTCCACCACAAGTGTCGTATGCTGTTTATTTATTTGATTCTGAAAGGTAAAAAAATGAGATTTATAATTATAATCGTTATTATAATTGCCAAGTACTACTCCTCACCGCTGTAACTACCAGGTCTTTGGCGTAAGAAGCCCTTCAAAGTATCAGGCTTTTAAATCCCTCTTAATACCTAGGCCTTCAAAGGTTAGAATGTAATCTGCCTATTATAGAATTCTATTAACATCATTACAAATTCTTTCACAATACAACGACCGGCAAATCCGTATTAATCCACTGGCGTTCTACAGTTTAATCCATAATACCACCCTTTTTCAGTAAGCCGTGGTATTAAAAACTGTAGGCTAGTGTTCTTAACTTTATTGTCAATAAAAATATTTTAAATCGTACTCGTATTTTTTGTCGTGTTTGGTTCCTGATTTCTTTAATTCTTTTATTTAAGGTTGGTTCGTGTGGCCAAAGAGGTGAATGGCAACAGTGAAGATGTAAATCAGCACAGCATCGATGATACTCTTGGGTAAGATAGAAATTTTGCTAAAGTGTGGTGTATATGACACCAAATTTTGCATTTCTTTTGTAAACAATGGAATGGACTCTAACATGAGAGATATCATAAATATGGCAAGAAATACATGCATAAAGTGAACTTGCTTTCAAATTGTTGATTGATATGAAATTTACAGAATCCACTGGAATACAATTTGGTAATGAACTACGCCTGTGCATGTAATCTGTTGGTACTGATCATGTAAATATTCCACCTTCTCTGCAAGTTTAATTTTGTACCATCAGCGGTTGGCTACTTCATTCTTCATTTATAATCTTTTTGAGTTTATCTTTTATTCACTACTTCGTTTCTGAATCAACTTGTATCATTCTTTACATCAATAGATTTGACCTTCTAACATCACCACATTTCTGAATCAACTTTTATCATTCTATATATTAATAGATTTGACCTTCTAACATCACCACTGATGCCAGATCAAGAACATAAGCTGCGACTGTTCCTTGTTCGCCGCCTTCATAAAGGAGCAATTTATACAGGGACTGGAAATTTCTCTGGAATGGATTTTAGGTAGTGAATTGATTTTAATTGTCATCGTTATTAAGATTTTGATTCTGTTTATTGTTATGTTGTGATATTGAAGGAAATTTATATCCTGTGTACGCATAAAATCTTTTCTTTTCACTTCTTACTGTAGAATAATGCTATTTACTCTCTGATATACAATTATAGGACAGGGTTTAAAAGATTAATGCTTGCGATTTGTTTTTTTCAGTCTTTCGGAAAATGCCATCGCGCCTTCCCCAGCCATTTGCTACTACATTCTTTTGCCATGCCAACATTCTACGACTTTGCAAGCGATGATTTGCTTGCTGGCATCGACTGAAACAAACTTGGAGGTTTTCCGGCCAGAGTTGACACAGTTCTGTGAAATGTTGGCAGCTCACATTCCATGTGTTAAGGTTGTGAGCCATGCCATTTATTAAGTGAAAATTGCACATCCAACACTTTCTTTGCGTCTCTCGTGGCACTATCACGGCATCGTCGTGGGTGTTAATAATATTGTACGTAAACTTTCCAAATTGCAGTTCTGCAGAACAGACCTCACATCTCATAATATGCAATCATTTGTTTTGTCTGTTTCGACGTCTTGTTAGAATCTGAAGTAGCTCGGTAAGTAAGTAACTGGCTGAGTGTCAGGTGACCGGAGTACAATTTGTAGCGAGGGCACAGACTTTTCTCTTCTGCCATTATATCCAGACTGGTTGTGGGGCCCACCCAACCTTTTGTCCAGTGGCCACTGGGAGTTCTTACCCCGAGGGTAAGGTGGCCAAGGCGTGAAGCTGACGATTCACCTCCATCAAGTGCAAAGGTTAAAAATTCTTGGAGGTATATCTAAAGTTTATTTAGCGTTACAGACGAGTAAGAGTAGGTCTTGATTTTAGGAAAAGCCGCTCCCAGTGTCTGCGTCTGCTAGGCTGATGACGTGGTACAGCATCTGCGTGCAGTACGTTGGTCGAGTGCTGCGAGCATTGGGCTCAAATATCTCCTCTTTACTACAGCTGGTAAGATTAAGTTTCGTAGCAGTGAATTACAGAATCATTAATGAATAATGAATTGGATTAGATGTAGAAGGAAGCAGCCTTGACCTAATTTAATGTACTGCCCTGGCATTTGCCTAGATTTGAGATTGGGAACGCCACCTTCACGAATTCAAAGCAGGCGCAGGTGTTATTTTGCAGGCTCAGCGCAGCGGTCACATAGTAGGTGGCGTGGGGGTGGACCAGATGCTGGTGGATGATACGGAGCGCTTCCTGGAAGCGTGCGCCATGTCCGAGTGCCTGCCACCGGCACAGTCGCCGACAGGAGAGGTGACAACCTTGCAGAAGACGGACAGGCAGACATACGTTGTGGAAGATGTGGAGTGCAATGCCTATTGCTCTGAATGGACTCGCCATTTGTTAGACCTTGGCCACAACTCCGAGCCCTGGAGGTTGCGAAGGGTTCTTGAGGCTTTCAAACTTAAGGTAGCTCTGCATTTTGCCCAGAATGTGTATTTATGAGTTTCGTATGATTCCCACAATAAACAGCGTTAACCAGTTGGTCTTTGTAATGGAGAGTTCTGTTTTTTGCTCGTTTGTAACAGGTTTTTTTGTATTGTTTAGAGGTTCTTCCAAACCAATGGAACAATTTTATTTCTATTTCAGACTATCAAGGATATGAACATGTTGAAAAGATTACTCAAGCAGTCGGAAATGGATCATTACTCGCTGTACAGGCAAGTAGTACTGTATAAGAAGTGAGGACCACTAGCAAGCCTTCACATTCTAGGATGTAACGAATTTGGAGCTGAACATTATTTGATCTCTGGGGTCACATGTCATGCAGTGATCGTATATGGGTCGTCTTTGAGAACCTCAGATTCTACTTATCAATTTCTGTTTGATGCGTAAGTGTAAAAAATTATAGTCGTGTGACTACTGGAATATGCCTTTACTGAGGCAGGGCTGTAACGACATATGAAACCAGTTTTCAAGCTGCCAGATTTTCATTGAATCTTTAATCTTTTAGTGACATTTCCATAACATATTTTGTGTGTGATATTACGAGGCCTTACTTTATTATTATTATTATTTTAAAGTTAAGGAACAGACAACTTTGGCTTTGGTGAGTGTTAACAGCAGCTGTGGTTCCCACAATCCTCAATTTCTCCCATTAAATGCTTTCGGAAGATAGGAATGCGGTGTCTGAATCGAATGATTGAATTTGTTGTAACTTATTTCCTTGTTAACTTAACTTTTGTCTGTATGTTTGTATGAATGTATTTTTCCAGGGCATATTCATTTCTCTGGCAGTCCGGCAACAGTGACGTTCTGTTAAGACAGGCCAAGTTGGAGGGCACTTCTGCCCCAGATATCATAGCTGCTCTGGAAGAACACTTCCGTTACATCGGCGCAGAGTGCGCGCCAGCAACTGTGTGAAGTGAAGCGTTGAGCTGCTACTCACAGCGTTGTTTAAACTACGAAGGCAAGACCATGTCTGTTTTTTGGACGTGGGGCATGTACTCGTACGTAATGCATTGGCTCACTTGTAAGTTGTTGACGGGAGAGTGGCTATAAGGAAACTAATGTACTTTCAACTTTGTATCTTCAGTTTCTCTGGGCAAGTCTGGAGGATACCGCGGAAGAGTCGGATCACCCTCAAAATGGGATTCCATTTGCCGTGAATAATATGCGAGGGGCATCACGCCGTACAGAGGCTGGTATTCCCTTATTAGAATGGATTCATCCGGCTTCAAGTGGAGTTTAAGTAATGATGTATATATTGTTACATTTCCATTAAACATTTGATGCCTGAAATGTGTTGTGAGATTCATTTTGTTGTTTGGAAACGTCTTCATCGCTCTGTCCCCCCACACTTTTAGCTTCATCCGATCCTGTTACTCCTTTAACGAACTGCAGTACTTCCTTATTAAACCAGTCTGGCAACTGGTTTATGTAGTAGCTTCTTGAAAGTGACAGACAGTGTTACCAATATGTGCACCGTTTATTTTTTATCACTTCATTTTCCTCGATTCTTCCTAGAAGTTGACGTTTAGATTTGAAGCTTTCCCAGTGATGTAACTCAATAAAATCATCTTGTGCGATCAGCCACGTCAAATGGTTAAAAGGCAAAACCGACGTTTCAGGGACCATCCGTCACCATCATCAGGATTCTGATGTATATTATGATATATTCCTGTAAATGCACTTTGATCTTTTTGGCAGAGATTTATATAAATATTGCTGCTTACTGAACTCAAGAATGCACAATTTTATGGAAACCCAAGGTTCATGTGAGCCCATCTGACCCTACCCCGAGGCAGTTCAGTCCGTGTTTCTCCGAGATCCGTTTTAATATTTTTCTGGCTTCCCCGTGCATCCTGCTTGATTTAATTACCCAAATATTATAGTGACAAAAGATTACTTTTTAATAAGTTTCATTGACTAACCTGTCGTTCTGCCTCCCACCTCCAGCAGGACAGACTCATTTGTTCCAGGAGTCAAAGTGCACCAATTAATTTTCTATGCTCTAATATAAGGTTTTGTGTGCAGTTTCTTCTGCCTTAATTTATTATGGAACTTCAATAAGTGCGATGATAGAGTCTGTGATTACATACTAAGAAATCTGATGTTTCTTTGGACACTGGAACAAAACCTTAAATGGAGTAGATATGTAATAAATTAGGGTCTCACTGTACTTTGTATCAAGCTTAAAGTTCCAAGACACTGTTTTTGCAGTATATTTTTGAACAAGGATTTTTTTTTGCAGTACACTATATTACAAAAGTGACTTCCTTCTAGTTGTAACAGTCAACACAGCATTTTTAATCAATACACGTTATTTGTTCAGCAGAAAAATGGGTCACCACGTAATGAAAAATAAAATTATTAACCCAATGGCCTAACAGACTGCAATTTGCTACATACAAACATTTGGTTCTTTTTCCTTGTATGAACAAATTAAGTTAGATCTCTCTCTGATCTTTGTCATAAAAAATATTAAGTTGTGTTGAAGCAAAATTATGATTCTGTGGAGAAACGCCATCAGGCGTTTTTCACAGTATTCATCCAGATGTGGAAGTAGTATGAAAATAAAAATCGTAGCCCAGCGATTTACCGGGAGCCTTTTATTATCACTGTGATTATAAAGGTAGAAAGGAGATACATCTTTATCACGACAATTATGCATATTAATTCAGTCTTCAGATATTATGGAGCAGGCAACATTTGGAGTATTTGCAAAGACCTCAAACGCGATTATATCAGAACTTTTAAACTGACTGAACTCGACTAATAAAATTTACGTGTCACTTTCTTTCTGTTTATGTAAAATAGGTTGCTGTAATATCCTACCAAATGCTGACGAATGGCCTTATTTCCATAGCCCCATTACAGTAGACAATTTCACAACCATCTGTATATTTCACTTTCAATTTTAATATCATTTATGTTCATAATTCACAACAAAGGCACATCAAAACTGGGCCATAACAATAAGGACATATTACATTAAGTATTCACACAACACTATATTACACGTAGACGAGGCCTACCTAAATATACACTTAGTGCGAGAAACACATTTCCAAATATATTTTAACGTGTACAAATAACTGATAGTGTTTAGCTACCATATTTAATAATTTAAATATGTGTAATTTGCATTATGAAACCCAGAGTCTTCATTATTTCCTGTGAGGTTTCGTCCTCGGTACACACATGTGCGTGCGCGCACATTCAAAATTGTACAGTTTTAGTTCCCTAAATTTTACCAGTATGAATAAGGCAATAAATAAAAAGACTTATAAACAGTAAACAGCAGATCTGTCGCGCTTCAGTTATGCTGCGGCACTATCCTATCGTGAACCCACTGGCTTACACAGACGCATCCAGGATTCTCGGTTATTTTTGGTCCTACGAAGAAACATTCGACATGCTGTGCCTGACTTCCATAAGAAGACATATGTCTTTTTAAACTAAAAACGATTTATGTTTCCTCTTAAGTACTATAAATTAAATTATAGTAGTTATTCAAAAGAATAAGCCAATGGGTCGTCTGTTTTCTACATTCAGTGGAGGCTTGTACTACTTAACCACACACTTTTTATCACAGAGTATTGACATTATTTCACACACAAGACGATTCAAACTGCATTCTAACACACATTCAAGCATACCGACACACATACTCCGTGATGCATTTCAGTTCTACTGTGTAGAGGAGTTTTGGAATGTTTGTGTTCTTCCTGTCATGGATTCGATGTTCATACCCCATCTCACAAAATGTGATAGGAAATAAATGGCAGTTCAGAAAAATTAGTTACTTTATGTGAAACGCCCACCTCCCATTAAAATTCCAGCGGTCTTTGGTATGTTCGTTTTACGCACTAATGCAACGTGGCATCTCCTGGCGACACGACAGGTGCGTTGCCCCGTAAGGATAGTACACTAGATGTATATTAACGTAATGAAGCAAATCGTATTTTATGCTCTGATGAGACTTAGAATGGAGTTTTCATGTAAACTAATGAATTGCACGGACTCTGTATTACTAATTCCCAAATTCTTTTTAAACGCAACGTACAATAATATTTCCAACAGAAATGTCAAAAAGGGCTTCTTCTTCTTACTTAACTCACTTGTGCAAAAGTTCAATACCAAAAATATAAACCAACCTTTTTTTTAATATGTACACACACATTTTTCCTTTCTTGGGGTAATACTAATGCCTAATCCTTTGTGATGTACCCCACAGTGGCCATGATTTCCTTAAAAGTAATTATTATTCTGCAGGCGAGTTACAGGCCTCGCAAAGTTTGTCGCAACAAACCAAAACCAATTTCATCGGAATGACTAGGAGGAAACGAGGGTCACAAAAGGACAGTTCGATACTTCTTTCCTCCTTCACTCTTGCTTCCTTGCGTCTACTTTAAGCCGTTTGCTGAATTCTTCTTGTTGCTTTTCCTTCCATTCCGGTTTTGCCTTCATGCGTTTTAACTGCCCGTCCCTGAAAACCACAAACCCAAAAGGTGTTTGAAAAGTTTGCCCTATTTTCATTTACAACACCAATATAGTTGATCATCATCAACATAATCATTCCAGCACTACAGTCACATTTTTCATTTCTTGTGCTGTCTCCATTGTAAATCATCCAATCCTGTAATGCTCAAATCATCGTTACAACCCCCATATCACCTTTCATCATTCTAGCCCCATCACAAGCTCTACTTAAATAAACAGTAACTGACTGAAGATGATCAGATGGTGATGACAAATATGACTGAAGAAACATGATGATAGATAAGAATTTTGGAGTGAAATAGAGATTATGATGTAGATGAAGTAGTGAGATGGAGTGAAGGTGATGGAAGTAGTAGGATGATGACGATGGACATTTTTGGGTGGGACGACAGTAACGATAAAGGCGAGTTGTGATACAGCTGATGACAGTGACGAGGTGAGAGTGTGAGGTTATCATCTTACCACATGAGGTCCACGAGGCCTCCCTGGCGAGCTATCACACTTTTAACTCGGTTGGCAAAGTCAATTGCGGTCTCTCCTTCCTGCTGGTACATCGGTGGCAAGTACCAGACGTCGCAAACGATGGCCCAGCTTGTCATCATCAGATATAGGTACTGCATCATAGAGTATCGACTGCTGTTCCAGAAGGCGTCGCCGAACTTAGGGTCATACTGCGAATAAAAACACGGACATGTTTCTTATGCATTCCCTAAGAATGTCCCTTGACATCTCGCGATGGCTAGAAACCAAACATTCTGTATGAAATATTTCTGCTTGCTTCATCATTTGTCATCTCAGACCTTCACTCTTAATAACCTAAAATCAACTACTTTTTTGTTTTAGGAGAGCGTAGGAGCAGTTTTTTGGCCCTGGCATATAATTTTTTGCTTGAGTAATTTTTAAGAAATGTTATAATAAAAGTTCAGGTTTAATTGGATCAATATGAATGAAAATATGCCCGGTAATTTTGGAGTGTAGGCCCCATTACCATATTTTATCAATATTCAAACTGACAAACACTCGGTGCCCTTAACAAAAATGTCATAACCACTATCGCCAACCTTGATTGCCACTGGATAAATAACACTGCCCACTTCAAAGCTGCCTTTCTTGAACTGCATTACAGACGTGTTGTTGATACAAGTGCCTTCAGGAAAGATCAGAATCGGCGGGTTTCTCGGGTCAGACACGTGTTGTCGCAGTTTCTTTGCTACTGCCTCCCGGTCTTTAACTTCAGACCTTTCAAACCAGATGTGTGGGGATGCTCTTGCCAGTGCCCTCTGCAGGACACCAAGAAACCCACCATGCCGCTGGCCAATCTGAAGAATAACAATCGCACACCATCCATTTTTCGATCAATATATCTTACAACAGAACGCAAATTCCAGTCATACAACTCTTATAGGAAATATTAAATCTGTAACGACAGATCAATTTCTCAAAATCCATCTACTTTTACCTGAAGATAAATCAGAATTTTGGAGGTATGGACATTGGAGGCAAACGTGTCAGGATTGTTAAAGTGCTGAAAATAATACAAAAAAACTACAAACCTAAAAATGAATTAGTGGCAGGAATTAAAGTGAATAATAGCAACATATATTATCAATGCTTCAAAGCTACTACAAATATAAATCCACCCGAAGAATAACACATTTATAAATCATTTTAAATCCGAAAGCATCCACAAAACGTTAGAGACACACAGTAGTTACTACATCAATACCAGAAATATTCAGAAATACATAAGCATATTTTTAAGTAGACGAGAATATTCAACACTAATCTACACAAGATTTAAAACACAAAACTCAAACACACAACTTGTACGCACTGAAGTATCTCAAACAATACAGACATCCCGTGTTTAGTGTTAAAGCCTTCTATTTAATCCACACGAACGTTTAAGCAATTTCCAGTTGGTGATACGTAACGAGTATGAGGCTTCACCCCGCCTGTCGCTTTTCTCATCTCGCAGCGCTGATAAGCAATTTCCAGTTGGTGATGCGTAACGAGCATGAGGCTTCACCCCGCCTATCGCTTTTCTCATCTCGCAGCGCTTCCAAACTCTCTTCACTTCATGCAGTTTTGAAACTTAAGTGAGATTTCAGGTTCTCGCGGCGACAGTATGAAGACGACAGTCTTCTGGAATTTTTCAACGTGTAGTATCGCAAACATTGACGAAACTTTCAGAGGTGTTCACCTTGATGATGGAGGCAGTAAGCACCTCTGATAAGTCAGCCAGTTTCTGTGAGACTACACAGCACAACATCCCAGAAGAAAAGTCGACACAAAAATTAATTTTTTTTTTTAAAATTTTGGTGTGGTATTTGTCATAAAATGTTAAGTGTGCTAAGCCAGTGTTTTGCACTAAAGCGGGGATATCTGTAGAACACATGACACATTTTCTACCCCACAACCTACCAGAGCATAGCAGTTGTCACACGCAAGCACAAGGACATCTATGGGTGACGTATGGTTCGCTACACAGATGCCACATTTAGGCCGGTTCTCTGGATTATGGTACGTGATAACAGCAGATAGGGCACTGGACAAGACGCCAAAACACATGATTGATACATGGTAATTAAGCCAGCGTTTGAACTTGCCCTCAGGAACATAGCCAACAATCCCAGTACAAATTGTGAGCCACATCACCTGTAAGCAATTAAACAATAACCCAAGCTGCCGCCAGAGAATCGGAGCTACCGCGTGGCACAAGTACAACTGGCACCACCAGTAGAACAAATGATAACAGTTAAATACGCTGCAACCATCTGTGTTTTATGCCTACGTCCCAGTCATATTCACAAACCGAATTAAAAAAATTTAAAAAGTGCATCTTTATCAGTTACGTGTCGCTGCGACTGGCGAAAAACGTCCGATTTACAGGTTTGATTTTAGTAATGGAGGAATCAGAACACTGCAACTGTTTGTTCCCAGCAAAAAAAAATATAAATTCACTAACATTACAACGGGGATACGTCAAATGAATAAATTCCCCATTAATAATGACAACACGGAAATTAAAATGGACATTTTGAAAGTTACAAAAGGAAATTACTTCAACCTCTTGTCGCTTTTACGCTCCCACGATGTTGGTCTGAAAAAGGAACTCTGCTATAAAGAGAACATCCACCAAGTTACTGTTAATAATGTTCACCTGCTCCCTTCTTCCAAACACTGGTTACGTAACATGAACGGACACCACACACACAAAGGCAAGTCACCGTTTCCAAAAGAAAATGCATTAGCCAAGGAGACTCTGCAACATCAGCCCCTAGCAATGCGTCAGTTGCACTCACCAGGGAGTAGCAGTTCTCTGTGGACAGCATTATAATGTCGATAGGCGACGTGTGGTTCGCGACACACACCCCGCCTGAAGGCACGTACTGCTTATCGTGCACGGTGATGATGGCCGATAGCGACCGTGCCAAAATTCGAAATGTTATGAGGTACGCTCGCCTGTGGAGCCAGTGTTTGAAACGCCCTTCAGGAACCAGACCGACAAGCAACATAGCCATGACAATCCATACAGTCTGTGACAGAAATATGGTGACCTCTAGAGCTTAGGACTGTGGGGTGGGCTCCAGAAACAGGAACACGACAGTCAGCTTAACTGCGGTTGACTTGGAATATTTACATTTCATTATATACAAGCACAGATTAGTTTACATTAAATACAATAATAAGCCTACGGATGGACTGAACGGGACAGTGACGGAGAACCGATAAAACGGATTTCTAAACGGGTCCGTTTCCTGTTGAAAACGGACATCTGAAGACCAACGGAAATGTAGCCGAGTCTAACGCATCGTGGACCTACAATGTTGACAATGAGAATGTTGCATGTTTGTCTTATAATATACCAATTAACTTCCATTAATGATGATTTTCATGTGTTTTGAAAAGCTGTCATTAAAATTTATATTTCATTTGCATATTCACTGGTCGCTCCTTCACTCAACCTTCTTCTTCTTCTTCTTCTGACTAAATGATGTTCTGTTGTTGTCGGAGGGGGTTACGAAACTTCTTTCAATGTCATCCTAGGAGGGAGAGACAATCTCACCATCCACATGGAAGGGGTAAAACCTCCCTTAGGAGAGCTGACACACAACCCGAAGGTATTGCTTTTCACAGAAACACATCTAATAACTACAGGAGACATCCAGCGACTAGCCATCTCAGAGCAGCTCCTACAGCCCCTAACCACTATCAGTACTATTACCGGACACGAGCGAACTCGGTTGAGACAAACAATTCAATTAGTCACAATCGCACAATGCCTTTCTTTAGCATATGTGGCCGTGATGAACATACTTACGCCAATAAAGCAGATTAAGACCCGCAGCGGTAAGAGAAAACAATACCGCATGAAAAAACCCACCATCCAAATGAAGCTCAGTCGCCAACTGATGAATTCGTAGTGGCGGTTTGTTCTTGTCAGCAGATTCCATGACTGGAACAGAGATTTTTATGCAGCATTTTAAGTCTTCTGCTGTAGTAAATAAACTTTTAGTGTGGCAAGTAGGGTTTGGCATAATTACTCAAGCCGTGCACATCTTAAATCACTTGCGCATTAATTATTTAATGCATTTTGTTAGACTGAGGCTCAGAATCGATTTTCTACTGATCGCCATTAAGTCACCAGTGGTGTGTTAAGTAGAGAGCATTTTTCTGAATGGTTCATATATATTTTATGGCGCAAAGTTACGGTGCGCAATTCTGTACCTACCTTAAGTTCTTCAGTTTCAAACCGAAGAGTGACCTGATCTTCAATTATCGCTTCTACTCCAACCTTGACGAAATCGAGGCAATCCGACAGTTCAAAGTCACTTCTCAACGTCTCAAAAGATCTTCGCCTGGGAAAATTCTGTGAGGAAACAGCAGAATAAGTTATAGTCAAGACATTAATTCCTCTCCTTTGTTATTAACACAAAATTGTTGATTCTGTCTTAAATAATCTTCCACGCAACTGTTTCCAAATAAAAATTCTTTTACTATGCATCGGTCACCAACATATTCAGCGCACTGACGCCAGTTCTATGGCCTTGCAGACAAATATCTGGGAGCTGAAAATGATATCACGCGAGAAGCAGTCAAACAATTTCTATGGGCACCCTCACTCAACGCAGTAACGACACACAAAATTAATCTGCAAGTCATAAAACGACAATGTTTTATCAATATTGAAGCCACGTGCCTTTGTGCTTCCTAAATATGGGAATGTACAGTTTACTCACGTGTGAGGCGGCTGTGTGGTCATCCTCAGAGGTCATGTTACTGTTTGCATGTGAGTAGTTATGCTCTGGATCAGGCACCAGGATCAGGTCTTCTCTGCTGATCACACTTGTCGAATTGTTCGCCAGGACACCGTTCTTGACCTTGCCGTCTGCCTTGTAAAGCAAGTGGTCACTGTGAATTCTGCGGTCACTAGTGACACTACGAGAGCAATTTCGTCTCGAGTCCCCCCGTCCGTCCTTGTCGCAATCTTCATCCTCATTTTCAGAGTTTTCGCAGCTGGCGTGTCGGTCCTTCTGCGCGATCTCAATGTTTTCTCGACCGTACTGAAAACAGGTGCCTCGTTGTCAGGTCTTTCTTTTTTAGGAGATGCAAGAAATTATATTTCTTAAACCCAAGACAGCTACTCATATTTCAGGTACCCTCAAGCCGTACGGATCATTAATGTCACCCTTTTAATAATTTCTTCCAGATCGGATGGATTAAAGCATTAAGCCTCCAACTAAATAACCTAGTATACAGTTTCTGGTACATAAACCACAATTTTTAACACCTCTAGCACAAAGTGCCTCAACTGTACGTACCTGATCCTAAGCCAACTCAATCCAGTTGCCCACCTGGCCAAAGATTTCTGTGCCTTTACAGAATTCAAGGGTTTGTTACTGTGATCACACAACCCTACCATCAGATTCTGTCCCGAGTCCGTTTAAGCCAATCCGCACCATCACATCCACTCTGATATTACCCCCCCAAACTATTCCAAGCGAAGTTTGATCCCGTGAATGTTTGTAATCAGAAATTTTGTATGTATTTTCGTCCTTGCAATGCATGCTACATATCTCACCAAGTTAATCTTTCTCTATTTAATAATATTAGGACAAGAAAATAAAAGTTCCACACTGAACGATGGTAAGGAAACTTTTTTCCCGAACTCTGTGCTTGAATTATCAATGAGGTCGTGATTAATTTTCAAGATGAGCGAGTTGGCCTTTCATACAATGGGTAGGAAAGCAATCACTTCAAGTTACCTTATTAATAGTCAGACACTTCCTGCAAGTTAATTCAATCAGGCATCGTCACTGACAGGACAACGCTGAAGGTTAGCCGCTGTCGGTGCATTGAGGCAAGAAGCAAGCTTCGGGCCTGCAGATAGGAAACTGGAAATTTCGTAAAAGCAAACTTGGGCAGGACTGGATACAAACCACTGACTTTGGCATGAATTTTGTGTCCATGTGCTAACACTCACGAACGCCACATTGTCGTACAAAGTATTGCGACAGAAGACGAAATGTTTCTTTTCACAACCTAACCTAACAATGCGCACATTTCTGAACAACTTTTGTTCGCGTGAGAACAAAATCATAACGCAGAACGCCTGTTGCGTCATTGTTTTTGCCACGATGAAAGGGTTTGTGGAAGAAAAAGGCAAGGAAAAGGTACGAAAGAAATCTTTTCCCGTTTAACTTCTACGGGCCGTTAGTGCAATAATAATTGAGGCAGAAGAACTTGGGAAAACAGATCGTTCCAGTTACTCGCGCTCGAGTCGACCACACGGACTTCCCTGGCGATCGAAAAACCACAACTGACGAAAACGCAGATGGTGAAATTCCATCCTGAAACTTTCTACTTTGTTTAAGTGTGTCTGTGTTAAGTACGCTTTGTGCGTTGCTCTAGTAACAAAAATAGCTTGACCTTGGTTTGGTTTCTGCGGAAAGTTATAAAGCTCGGGATATGACATATTTAATTTGGTGGCTTCGAAGTCGAAATTTAACTTTTCCTACGGTTCGTCGCAAGTACGACCACCTCACGCCGTACAGAGGTTACAACAACGAAGCACATTATCCTACCTCTCGTAACAATTCAAGGTTTTACTTCGGTGTGACGTTCGCAGCGCGTAATCTCGTGACAATCGAGACGAAGGCTTAATAATCATCTTCGCATTTTACAAATTGCCATCAGGAAAATGGCCATGGCATATTTCAAAGTATCATGTGGATGGACTGAAATGAAAGTTCCACAACAGAGTTAATGCCTCGCCGTGTAACTTTCTACCAATCTCGTAATTCGTAGTCACACTCCAGGTGAAAGTCTCTATTCGACTGCGCAGTGTCCGTCCGCCAATCAATTTCACCTGCGACATTGACCTCGCAATTTGTTAAATAAGGCAGCCTTGTAGAAGTTGGAGGCAGTAAACACCTCCGAAACGTCGATAAACTTCTATCAGACAGCAATGGCGCAGGAATCCAGACGGCAGACAACTTCAGTGAATCTGAAATCTCATTCTTCGTCCTTTCCTGTCGCACAGATTACGTAACGTCGACAAACAGAATGATTGAACGATGAACTGCGCGTGTCCTGTCCAAAGATTTGCCTGGAGGGGGAAGGGGGGGGGCGAAACACGAAGGAATGCTAACCAGTGGTACGGGACAGACTGCATCCTGGCATTCGTAGGCGCCAGTCCCCATGGATGTCCTTGCGCGGAACATTGTGGTCTTGATAACCTTCACATCAGATCACAGGTGAGGTACTGCGTCTTCAGAATCACACACGGTTACGTAATGAACGCGACGACGCGACCACTTGGCAGTAAGGTCGGGCACTGGACTTCGGTTGCCAGGGTACAGCTCCTCCCCCATTTACCCAAAGCTCGTAACTCCCTCCACTCCGAAGACTTAAATTATTTCGCTGCTAATCAGGCGCACTTTCACAAATCAACTTTAATGATAATTACTAGACCATTTAAAGCAGAGTGGTACCATCTTCTTTAACTGTCAGTAACACTACATTTTGTTTTTATGTGTTTCGTATGTTTCAAACAATAAGCAGCGATTATTTCCTTAAACAGCGTTAACCAGTTGATCTTCGTAATAGTGAAGTGTAGTGTTTTCTTCGCGGTACGGGCCGAATTCTTAAATACTATTTAGACGAGCTTCAACTTTAAAACGTGCACTCGCCTACTCTAATTATACTACAGGCCTATTATCTGACGTGGTTGTAAAAAGGCGTGATCAGGAAACTGATGATCGCGTAATTCTCCTGGAGTGTGGGGCCGCGTGGTCACCAAAGTTCTGGACAGAGCACCGTAATGACGCATCACATCACAGACAGACTGGAGCAGCAGGTCACAGGTCACGCCACTTTTATTAAGTAGCGACCGCTATCGATTTTATCAATATGGCGTGGTACATTTATCACAGGACAAAACTAAACGAATCAGTCACATGAACAGCACGCACTGAGCTGGCAGAATCCACACACTGCCCTCCGTGGAGCGAAAATTCAGATCAGCTCTTCTGCATGAAATTTTCGTCTTATCTCACACCAAAACCGGTTGCAGCCGGAACAGTCCCATGCGTTTTTGCCCTTTGAAGCACAAAGCTCGTCCAAATGATATTTAAGAAATGAGCTCGTACCGCGAAGAAAACACTACATTTCACCATTAAAAATATCAACTGGTTAACGCTGTTTAAGGCAATAATACGACTAAAACGCTAATTAACCTTTGGAGCCGAAGCTCTTTCAAATGAAACTTAAGAATTCAGTCCGTACCCCGAAGAAAACACCACACTTCACCATTACAAAGATCGACTGGTTAACGCTGTTTAAGGAAATAATCGGTTTATTGGGAGAATCATACGAAACACATAAACAGGCCTACAATATGCAGCGTCCGATTACTGAGGGAGATGGTACATATAGTTACCATTAAGAGTTATTCAGCTCACACAGCGGCGATGGACGTCAAAAGCACGAATCAAACTGATTTTAATTACATGCTGTAGGTTATAAGTCCGTATGGGCGCAAAGGTTCCAATAGAGCAAACCTGTTAAATTCGTTCTTAAGAACTTCGCACTCATCAGATTGGTCGTGACATGCCGTCGAGATATCAAGCCTTTGTTCCCCATTGTAGTGAGTAACGCACCCAATCGGATGATGGTGACTGTTAAGGGTACAGACGAGACCAGCATCACGACGATTTCAGATGTTTTTAAGACTCACAACTGCCTAGTTTATTTATTTTCGGTTCATTGAACGATATTCCCAATAATTAGCTCAGAACAGTGTCGGAAGGGATCTGAAGTGTCCTAACTTACGATATTTGATTGGAGGGACTGGGGAAACCAAGGAAAATATTTGCATATTCGGTCTCCGATAAACGTTAACACAATTCTTACAATTGCTTATGATAAATTGACTCTTGAAGGGATAGCATCGTTCCTACGCAGGGTCCTGACGTTACGTAAAAGCGGATTGTTGACGGCAGTAATGTAACACAACAATGGAGTAAACAGATGACGCAACAATTAGTTCCTTTGGCAACAACAATGCACGCAGGAGTTCATACAAAAGCTGACCATTGTTGTCGGTCAATATTTACACTTTTTGGCAGAATGACCCTTCCACATAGACGTATTTACGTAAAAAACGTTTACCGTCTTAATCAGACAAACAACGTTAAAGCGAATCTTGAACCGACGTGTCGTAACAGACCTTTGGAAAATACGCAGATTTTGTTGGCGTAATTTTCTATAGAATGTAATACAACAACATTGCAACTGCACGAAAACCTTCTTTTTTTTTTTAATCTTTCGGTTTGATGTTGATACACATGAAATCTGCAACGTACGTAGATCGTAAACACGCGCACGCCGTCATGTTTTTGTTTATTTCTACCTAAGCATTTCGACGTTTCGTTTCATCACTGAAGACTACATTTTGAAACAACGCAAACCAAACCATTAGATAACAGGTTTCAACACTAATGCCAAGGCAATATCCTGTCCTACAAAGGGCGTTAGTGCAACCCAGCTCCTATCAGTACAGTGTTGTAATATTTCAACAGTTAACCTGACATTCCGTAGCATGTAATTACTTTGAATCTGAACAACAAACGATCCACATAATGCCCTCGCCTGCCAAACAAAGGTTTACATAATGTTAATATTATAAGCGGACTTTGGACTATGAATGGAGTTTACTCAAGTACTTGACGCCCGTAACTTGCAGTCAGCATGCCACAGTGAAAGAGGTACAAAGTCTCCAGCTTGGAACAGAAAGCCTTATCTGATGTAGTGTGTGCTTTATTCGATGCTAATAAAATGTTGGTCCAGAAGTAAAGACCTCATATCGCCACCAGGCCGCAGGACAAAATCATTAGAACAGAACAGAATGTATTTACAATCCACAGATCGTTCACAACACAAGTCAAGTGTGCGAAACACGTCAATGATGGTAGCTACACAAATCCTTAAAACATGCACCAAAGTTAAAAATTTCGGAATAACATTAACAAATAAAAATTGCGGTTCACCATAAAATTAAGAGGAGAACACATTTGGGGAATGTCTCCTACCATACAAACCTCCATTTTCACAAACAATGAGAAGATAATTATCTTCTAATCCTTTAATCGTCGTTTCTTGTATGGGCACTGTCCGAAAAAACACGGTTTTCAACATTCAACTGCTTATAAAGTGAGCAAGGGACATAGGACGTTCAAGAAAATGACATTTAACCTTTCACAAGATGTCAATCAATATCGACAAGAAATTGTCATGTTAACCCCTTAAATTCAATTTTCTTCCTCTGTTACCGCTGAACCTTCAACATCATACAGAAGCAGATAATGTTAAATATTAATTATTCTAACACATTACAGATGAGGGTTACTGAATCCATCTCCTGATTAGCAACTGCTAGTGCTTACCTCAAATATTTTTAGCAACATTTTCACATATAATCTTCGAACTCCTAAGGATTTTCCGATTGAAGCCAGAAATATTATTGCTAATAAAAACATTAAGAACGGTGTCACGAGTATAGAGCATGAAACACTTATTACGCTCCATATTAACGCCATATTGATACGACCTACCACAGATCACCCGCAGATGACCTATTCACCGCTATAACTGCCTCCCTACTGCTGCTGCAACTAGTCATTCCCAACCTTTACACATGAAATTTGCATCACAGATAGACACACGAACGCTGAAAACGTCACAACCACAGAGATGATCTATGCCATAGTTAAGTTTCCAAAGTAAGCCATAATTTAGAAAAATATGTACTTCAATATTTCTTTTAAATAAATATTAATCACAGTTAAGTATTAATGAATTTATCATAATAACAAATCGTCAGATAATAAAATAATACTGATTTGCCCATAGCACCAAAGAAGATAGTCACGGTTTGTTGCCGTGACCGGTGATACAGACTGATGTGTAACCTGTGGACTTCCCTCCCAGACAAATATGGCGGATTTACCTGCTCCATTACGGGTCTCGCCTCTTATAAGGGTAGGTAATGAATATGAACTTCTACTTATTTTCAATAGTTACGCCCGTCTACTTACTAAATATTCATATCATTAGATGTATCCGAGATAATGTAGGTTAAGGAAGATCATGAAAAGAAGTAATTAATAATATTGGTCTCATCCCAAAAGAATACAGAAAGAAATCTTTTTAACAGTTTGTCTACCAAGGGAAGTGAAAGAATAGAGATGTTGTAATATGGTGAGCATTATCTCATTACTATTTGAAAATTGTTTAATGTTTCATGGTTTCAGAACTATCCATTACCAGATCAGTATATGTTCTGTCTTTACTACATCATCCTTAAAGTTTTAATTTTCAGCAAAAAAACTGCAGGAGGAAGTGCATTATGATTGGGTAAAAGTTCTCATTTTCTCTGCCTTAAATCTTCTGTTCGTCAACAGCAGTGAAGTGGAGATTGCGTTGTTGTTTTGTGTAGGTTTTGGATTTTATGGTGAAGAGAACACTTTTCATAAACAAGTATAGTGATGCAACATTTCAAAAACAGTGAAAATGATGATACAAGATCAGGAACTTGAAACACTGAGAGTAAGAGTTATTTTAGTCTAAACATGATGAGTGTGTAGTAACCTGTGGTTGCCACATTGATGGCAGTGGATGATTCATAGAGGAAGAGGTGATTTGCCAGTCCTGCTGTTTCATTTTAGTTTGGCAGATGGAGTTTCCTCGCAGCTGGCATTGCGTGGGGAGCCATTCGACATAGATCCCTGTCTAAGAAGGAAAATGCATTACGAGAGATTGAAGCGAAGCAGAAACCAATTCGTGATGCCAAATTAGCAGCAGAAAAGAAGAGATTAGCTAAAGGTTGGTCATCAGTGAACATTTAAATATTCTGCCACATAATAATGCTGACTGACTAACCATATTATGAAATCTCGATACTCTGTCCTTCTTTGCACCTCAAAAAATTCCTTCTTGATACTCTGTTATATTATAATTTATTAGAGATTTTGTAGTTTAGATGCGTCATGTTTGTGTTGAAATTCATGGATAGTCATCATCTGATCACAGACGCAGACACACCACACATCACAACTCTTGAATAATGAACAACTGACCAAAAATATGCAAAACACTGCGAAGATCAAAAGGAATACCTACAAAAAGAAATCTACAAAACAAATAAATCAATAAATGGTTGCATTAATAAATATATATTAGTTTTAAAGATGAAAATGACAATAAAGAACCTGAGGATGATGCAATAGCATCGAAACATGTCGTAAAATAATAAGCGCCGAAATGTAACATCGTAATAACGATGAAAAGCGCTAAATTTTAATTTTAATTTTAACAACAACATTTAAAAATTGAAATTAAGTTTGTGTATAGACTGAAATAATAAATAAATATATACTTATTAGAGATTGTCATAGTTTAAAATGTTTAGAATCTTTTACATCAGTTTTAATTGGTCACATCCCTAACTTTTGGCTGCTGTGAGCCTACCACCAAGACAATATTAGAATGGATCTCAGAGAAACGTGTTTTAAAGTTGTTAATAAGGTTACACTGTCTGGGGTAGTGTCCATTGGCAGATTCTGTGACCTTGGCGATGAACCTTCATATTCCATAAAGACAGAAAGTTTCTTGGCCAGCTAAGTAACTGTTAGTTCCTCCTGAGAGACGCTTTTCCAGATTCTAATACTGTGTTTACTTCTCGTTACAGAGGAGCTGGACTACCTAGCCAGACAAGCAGGAGCCCCACCTGAGCCATGATCAGTTCTTCTGTTGCATTCATGTATAGTAACTTTACTCCCATTTCTGTATAGAATATAAATGTATTTCAAAGTGTGAAATATAAATGTCATTAATTTGTTTCACAGTGTGAAGCTGCAATAAAGTTCATATTTCTAGATGGCTTTAACGGCCGCACTTATTTCTTAATATTTATTCTTTTTGCAAGAAAATGAAAGTAGCTTATTTGTGGGTTTTTTAATTATATTTGTAGACTTTGAAACAAGCGCATGTGTAAGTACTGTGTTCTTTACATTTTTAGCATATTTTACTTCCTCAAGGGAAAATGTATATTTATGAGATTACCATACTTTTTGTGTGTGTGTGTGTGTGTCCTGCCTATTCAGCATTTGAAAGAGTTCACCAATTTTCATATAATGTGATACAGATATTATGCCAGTGGAAGCCGCCATCATACTTTTCAGTCTCGATGATGATAGACTAAATGTAAGTTGATAAGATGATAGAGTTGCGTCATATTGTGAAAATATATTTAATTAATTAATCTTGTCCGTCTAATCACAATTTAAAATTTGAAATTAAGATAGTTAAAATACCATGTGATGCTCCTTATCGAAACATTCGATTTACATTTTGAACATGTAGTGAGAAAGTGATGTTCCAAATGTAAATCGAATGTTTCGATAAGGAGCATCACATGGTATTTTAACTATCTTAATTTCAAATTTTAAATTGTGATTAGACGGACAAGATTAATTAATTAAATAAATGTAAGTTGAAAATAATTAAATGTTAAAATTAATAATTTACTGTATTCTGGGATGTTACAGTGCATAATCTAGTAGACGTTTAATGATGTTTAAGAGGCACTTACTGCCTCATCACCTGGAGATGGAGGCAGTATACACCTCCGGAACATTAATAAATTCCTACCATACATTATCGCAGAAGACAGTTGTCACATCTTTCCAAAAGAGGGTGGCTAAGACATTTCTGACAGCCTCCTGATGAATAAATAGGGGCCTTTTCTTTTGGGAGAAATGTTTACTGACTGTAAAGCTGATAACCTGACGATCTGTATACTAAAATTTGCAATTACCAATGTGACCATTTTCACATTTGGCGCGCAGAGTTGAACGCCATTTTGTAAGAAGCAATATATATCGACTCTGGTTTATCGAAACAAACCATCACAGCATGTGTAGACTGCTGCCACCTTCAGCAAATTCTTTGAATTATATTTACACGTGGTGACGTCTAACTCCGGCGTTGCCAGTTGTTTAAAGACATTTTAAACGGAAGTCAGCCTTAATGTGGTATTATATTCAGCGTAGCTCATTATTAGACCGAGAATTCCTACACGTAATCGCGTTGCTTTCTTAATTTCCGATGCATAGGGTTATTGTATGTGTCATGGCTGTGGTCATATTTGCCACATGTCGCGTTCATCCCATTCCTCGTCTTGATAATCCAAATTTATGGCGAAGAGTAAAATTATGAAGCTCCTCATCACGTTTTTTTTTTTTTCCTGTATCCTGACATATCTTACCTCCCGAGTCCAAATATTCTTTTGAGGACGCTGTTCTCAAACACCCTCGGTCAGAAAACATCTTCCAGTTTCAGGGATAAGCCACGTCGAAGAAAGATAATTATCAAACGCTTCGGCAAACATTTCAGTTGCCATCTTAGAGAGACTATGTGTTGGTTCGGACTTCTTTCCCCCAAATGCATCGTTTGCCGAAACATTGGATAATTTTAAACATTCGTCGTGTGTCGCCCCCGAAAACCTACTGTCGAGAATTACACACAATCTGTTATCTTTCCTGGATTTGAGAGAACAAGTTTAATACCCATACAAAACTACAGGTAAAATTGTAGTTTTGTGTATTTTTTCTTTCTTTATATTTTTAGACAGCAGGCGGGAAGACGACATTTCAAAATTAAGCTGTCCCCGAATTTTATTTATTTTTAGCGTTCTCATATTTCCTTATTGCCGTTCCCAAATATTCTAATTTTGTCGCATTTTCGAAGGATTCTTTCCTTCTCTCAGTACTTCAAAGCTACACATAATATGTCTGTGTCCCTGAAGATAGAGGCACGAAGTCCCTTCGAAATGTCCGTAATGTTGTTAGGACCCAGAAGGGAAAATAATTGCATGTATTTCCATACGTTAATTTTATTTCTTAAATATCGTACCTTCACTATCTCCTTCCTTCATACCAAATTCGTAAACATGCGTTTTATTGCTGTAAAATTAATGGGGGGTTACAATTTACAGAATTTTGTATGACATTAAAAACCAAATCTTTCTGACTCTGAGCGTGATGGTCTTACGACAGGCCTACGTATTCCTGTTGTCATTTGCTGTGCCACAAACATTCTGCGGGGAGTGTACCTGAACAGACATCTGCAGCCAGGAGGGTCGATCGATAAAGCTGGCGTCAGACCTAATCCGTTACAACGACAATGGGCTTCTGGCTCAAAGCTTAGGGCTTGCGTTATCTAAGCACATTTTTGTGTTCAAAACGTTTACAAATTGCTTCTTCTAATTGATATTGTTCTACACGGAACCCTCTTCACTCTGAAGGCTATTTATCTCATTGATGGTACATTTAAAGACACTGTATCAATTGCCCAGTCATTTGACGACACTTGTGAACTCATAATAGAAGTGATCGGATATAATAAACTACGTTTGACTTATGCCCGTCTTATCGATCACCTGATATTATTGTCCCAGTGCTGACTAGAACACCGTGCAGTGTCTGACTGTTCCGAGGTTATAAACTACGCTGTATCAACTGAGTTATTTATTCACAACAGGCACCAAGTCATTTGATTCAAATGTTCGTCAGGTCTTTCATCTTAACTGGTTCACCCCACAGAAGAAAATTCTTGGCAATTTTAAGTATTTATGAGATATTACTCGGAACTACGGGTAACGCGAAAATACGGACATCTGACGAACGATTGAAAAGTCCTGCTTCGGTTCGACTCGTAGTTTAGAGCCCCGTTATCCTAACTGATATCCGTGGTTTACATCAGTCCCTCTAAGTAAATTTTAGATTGCACCATATAATAATAGACCACTACTGTTTTTTTCAACAACTTCTTTGTGGTTGGCGCACTAGCTGAGTTTGAGACCGTTCACTCCACTCAGAGGAAGCAATTTTATGGCTTCAGAGGTTTCTTAAATAACGGCGTCAAGTTGAAGGACCTGATGTTCAGAAAGACACAGGAACACTTCGAGAGAAACAGAGCGTGAAGGGCAAACCACCGTGAATTTATATTTGCTTCACGCCATCTTCTACTCTGAAAGTCCATGACCGCGTTCACGAGACCTGGTGTACCCCAATCTTTGACCAAGTAAATCCAGTTAAAATCCTTCCATCCGATTT